CGGGCAGATCAGACTATCGCAGCTTTGATTGAGGTATCACTTGCTGTCTCATCAAGGCAGGACCATTGCGATGAAGATCGCACTGTCGTGATGGTAACTTGCTGATGTGGCAAGATTGGTATACTTCGCCAAGATCGTGGTGATCACTTGCCGATGTGGCGAGACAGGATTACCACATGTACTTGATTGGTGACAACTGTTGACGTGGCATATTCTCCAACTGTCGAACCTTGAGGCTGGCACAGATACAGCATTGCGGTATACACGCATGTGGGACGATCTGGACACGACGCTGACGTGTCACTCCCGCATCATTGCTGACGTGGCACCTTGCCACGTGCGGGTTGGGGTTGACATTTGATAGACCTGCACGAACATTCCGACGACAGTGGCGGTACAGCTGATTGTCGTTGACAGTTTAGTGCCGTCTGATTAATTGGGGTGTTAGGAGGTACAAAACGTGAATGATTGCAGGGGGGGAAGAAGGATACTGAMGATTTGATTGTKGTGTTGRTGTACTTACCCTGTGTTGTTTGTTTGTGGTGTTGTACTCACTTGCTGATTGTCTCTGATCAAAGGCCTGACGTAATACTGTAAAAGTCTGAAAGAGCAAAAGAAAAAGAATACAGCGTTAGTAATATATATATATTTTTTATTATTGCTGATTATTTATTAATTTCTTTATTTATTGAAATGTCTCAAACCGAGAGTGCTGCTCAGACCCCGATGACAAACTTACCTGATGTTCGCACACGTCAACAAGTAAAAGAGCGGAAAAAGGTCCTTCTTGCCCGCCTGGAAATCTTGTTGTCTGACTTGCATGATGCTGGGGATGAGGCGGAGGCACATGTGCGGTCATTGTATGATCTTGAGGCCACGCATGCTGCCCTGGTAGCCGCTGAAACTGGCACCGAAGTCGTGGAAGTCCAGGGTGTACTTATCAAATGCCGATAGGCACTTGACAAGTACATCATGGACCGATATATTGAAGTTGCAAATGGCAGTAAAAAGAAGGAACAGCCAGCAACTCTGGCTACCGTAAATGAGAACATCAAGCAGTTGGAAGAAGCACTCGTCAAAGAAAGAATAAGGAAAGAAGAACTGGAAAAACAACAGAAAAGAATAAATCAGCAAGAACAAAGAGTCCAGGAGATTAGACAAAATGTTTTGGTGATTGGAGAGGATGGACAAAATGTATCATTGCCACAACTCATCACCTACCTTGCTCATTTAGAAACCTGAATTGAACAGCAAGGTCTGCAGATTGAAGAGCTCACTGCTGGCCTGCGTACTGTCACCAACCTGGTGAAAGGAAAGAACGAGGTAGAAAAAACTCAAAACGAAGAGAAGCCAAAAAAGTTGATGAGTGATGCAATGACGTCATTAAGGGTCGCCACAGTTAGGAATGAAGAATCTGGGGGACCTTCAGATCCACCAAGTCCACCACCTAACGGATCACCAAAAGGAACGAACGAAAACACGGCACAACCAGAAAAGCCGAAGAAGAAAGAAAAGGTGAAGATGAAATTGCCTTTCACGTTCAGTAATAAGAAGGATGAAAAC